TTTGAGTAATTTGAACTGAATGAAAATATATAGATTCATTATATATTCTAATATTTCATATACGTTGATATTATTTCTTTAAATTTTTATGTTATTTGTAAATTTTTTATTTATTCATTATGAAATAATTAATTTTATAAAATATTGTTTAATCAATATCCATGTATTACATGATATGTATTTATATCCATTGAAATGATCTTATATAAATATTTATGTAACAATCTCATAACATAAAAAAAATTATATTTTTAAAACCTATAAATAAATTATATATTAAAAATATTAAATCATATTTTTATAAGACTATGTCATACACAATCCTATTCCAGCATTAAATGTTATATAAAATTTGCATGTTATTTGTCATATATAAATTAAATGAATTAATATTACAGTTTATATTACCTTTATAATAATATTTCGAAATTATTGAAAACTCTAACGCATAAGTCATAAATGTAAATTTATTCTTAAAATAATGTGTATAAATAAATTTATAAATTCAATCTTTATATTTAACCTTATTTCGCATTAGTAAGTGTTAAATGAGGCAGAACTAACAAAAAGAATGATATAGCAAATCATTACAGATCTAATCAATATATATATAACATATATATTTATTTACATTTTCGATTCACAATAATTTTTAATATATATTCCTTCTTATATAAGCAAGAATGGATTTGTTCTTAAGACCCTATGATAGATTATAGGCAATTAAAGGACTGAAAATATCTCCTTGGTTAATATAATTTCCTTAATTTATGTATAAGTTCTTTTTTCATATTGATATTATCATTTAAAAAGAAAATAATTTTATTCAACAAATTTATTTATAATTATATTTAAATATCTATTATTTATGGTAAATATATTATTATAAATCATGGGGATTCACTAATGCGTTAACATAGGAATAATTATATAAATATATCTTTCTATTCTCTATGCTTAAATGTGTTAATTTATCAGATTACACTACGTTTGTTGAAAATATTAAAGACATAAATTGTATCATATTAGAAATATTCTTTTGTTGTAATCATAACTTTTGGGTTATTAATCTATTAAAAATATTGAAGTAACAGTATTAAAATTAATTATCATTGCATAAATTGAATCTTTTATATATAGAAAATGAATATATATACAAAACTCATTTTTCCATATATTATTTAATTTAATCAAAAAAATACATTTGCAAAAATATTAAAAGATTATTATATTTTGGTTCTAAAACAAACATCCAATGTTCTCTAATAAAACGAGAAATTATATTTGAATTCTGTATATAATAAAAATATACAAAAAATTATGACTTAACAAAATCTGAATTCATCAGGTAATATAACATATATCAGAATTAATATGTTCCAAAGGTCTAAATTCTAAACAAACTCATTAAATGATAAAGATTATAAATGCTTAATAATAAATGGGTGCATATAGACAATAAAAAATATTCATATGGAAAGAAAAGGGGAATAAATGACGATTTAACAAATATCATTGATGGAAATATTTAATAAATTAAAAAATAATTTTTAGAAAAAAATAAATATATAAATGAAATTAGAAAAAAGCATAAGGAGAAAAATAATGAACACTTTCAGTATATTGTGACCCTTTATATGATGATGCTATTTAGAGTGAAATATTTTAAACATACATATATGTACGCAATATATTCGAAATAAGATTACATGTAGTTTACATAACATAATGTGTGTTGTTATGGAGACATTATACTAAATTTATCATTTACAAACATTTGCGAAGAAATTTTATTAATTCAAATATTTTTAGGATATATTTTTCACATATAAAATCATTTAGAGTTGAGATAACAGGAAAATAAAATATTTTATTAGTTCTTCATATAAATGCAGATATATTTCTTAAATAATTCATAATTACTGAACGTAATTATTACAGAACATTTTTTGATATATATAAATTTAAGGTAAAAATAGTTAAATTTTATACAAGTGTATGTTTTTATGCATGAACTAGAATATTTAAAAAGAGCCATGAATGTATTATTTTAAAAATACCATAGAGTAGTATGTCCAAATATTTGTCTTCCAACTAAAGAGGTAATATGTCTATTACAGCTACATTTAGAGAATTATTATTGTTATCCTTAAACTTTTAATTTTTTAAAAGGAAAAAATAATACTATATTGCAATTATTATTCTCAAGCAAAAATACATAATAAAATATATTTTATATACCCGCTCCTTATATTTATTCTTTTTATTTTCTTTTTTTTGCATAATATTATTTAAAAAATATTAACATATATAATATGTATATATGTTCTTTATTGTTATTAATTTTCATTAAGACATTTATATCATATTTATTCATAGGATGAATAAAATGTTTTAGAAAAAATATTATATTTATGATTATTGTTAATGTACTAAAATATATATATTTAAATTAATGTACGTTAAATTCTTTTTTGTTAGATTGATATGTAAAGAATAAACCCAATAAAACAATGTAGATGTTTATTATTTATTAAAATAGGTATAAGTAGGAAAACATTATTTCAACGCAATTTTTTAAGATGTATATCTTGTTATATAAATAAAATCCAATATAATAATAGTACAAACTTAAACAAATAAATTTGTATATTATAAATCATAGGATTCATAAATGTTAGTATATATCCACATATATAATTATAATTGCTATATAGGTTGTAGGACTTCAATAAAAGCATTTAATGGATTATATTCAAAGGACAGCACTATGTACAAATATAAACACTGTATTATACAATTTCTTTCATATATATTTAATTATATTGAATGAATATTATTTTAGGGTTGTATATATTATTTATAAAAATTATGGCATTATAAATGTGTTATTACATATCTGATAAAAAATATACAACATTGAAATATAGAGATTATATATAAATTCTTATAATGCTATAAATATAATCAGTTTAAATATATTCAAGATTTCTTTTTATGAGTGTATGTATATGTAATAATTTTTTGCATATAAATTTGTATGAATGCAAATAACACAGAAATTATTAGTGAATTTTAAAAAAATTTCACTTTTTTAACCTGTTATAAAATAATAAAACCATATAAAACTATTAATCATATGTAAATCTAATATAATTTAGTCTGATCTAATTAGGGCTATCATAAACTTTTTTTATTGAATACTGTCTTCTTCCGCAATGTGATGTAATTCTCTACGACTAACCAATACGTTATTATAGAGTAATAGATTATTTTATTAATTAAATATATATTGTGATAATTTATGTTTTATATGGATCAATTATATTTTTAATTTATGTACATGGATTTTCTCATGAATTATTTAGGTGCAATTGTTATTTCAATATAGTGTATACTTGCTATGTACATTTTCACATTAGTATGTGGACTAAATTTTTCAATTCTATAACTTTTCACATTATATAAACATTTATACAATAAAAAACTGTCCTCTAAACAAAATATTGTACCATTCTCTTGGATCAACACAATTGCACACTAATAATATTCTAAAAATTAATATATTATGAGAGTGAAGATACAGAATTATTAATAAAATCAATATTTACAAATTTAAGACTAAAAAAAAATAAATCTAAATAAATAATTATAATACATAATAGGCGTAATAATATAATACACAATTTCATATATATTAATAGAATTAACTAAAAATTGAGATATTTGCATTGTGCAAATTTTTATAGTTCATTAATATATTAGGGAAACTAATGCTTAGTATAAAATTTTATATAATGTATAATAAATAAAAATATATAAATTTCAATGCTATCACTTATTACTACTTATTAATTTTATATAAGATTGTATAATGATACATTTTGAATACAATATATTTTATTATAATATTATATATAATACACAATAATTTGAATAAAAATTACGTTAATGGGGGAAAAAACTTAATGTAAATAGAAAAAATAAATAGTTTATTTAATATACTATAAATTAATAAATTAAATAGCTCCTAGTGATAAAATTTTTTTCCCTATATTATCAATCAGTTACTTTATAAACACTGGATTAAAAATTATCATGTAAGTACTAAATATATAAAGATAATAGGATTATAAGATATTCAATAAATATATAATTATACATAACATTATTTTATATAGTAAATTATATGTGCTAATAATGAAAAATATAAGAAACACAAATATACAAAAAAAAAAATATATAACACAGATAAAAATATATATAAAAATATTACTGATTCAATGAATTCCCTATTACGATTTATTATTATAAAAATATAATAATTATTCATATTAAACAAAATAACTAAAATAATATAAACAAGCTAAAATATGTAATATGCACATTATTTAATATATAAATAATATTATTATAATAAATTTATGCATCGATATCAATACCAATTTTTGTAACATAAAAATAATATATAACAGAATTAATATAAAATAAAATTTAAAATCCTTTATAAACAAATTTAAAACACAAAAAAAAATAAGTGAGAATCTACACAAATAAAAATGAGAAGGAATATCAAAATCTATTAATCCAGATAATATTATGTGAATATGACTAAACCGTAAACACTAAAACGCAGAACCTGTATATATAAATATGTTATTTAGAGAGTTAATATAAGTACACAAATTCCATATCTCAGGATAACAATATTTTATTATTTTTTCTTTTGTATATTTATTTTTTATTTTAATATTTTTCTTCATAATAAATAATAATATATATTATTTGACAAATATAATTCCTATGTTCATAGACGTATAATTATTTATGATCTCTATCATGTAAAAAAATTTTATATAAATATTTTAACATTTAAAGAGGATTTCATTGGCATCTAACACAATTAATCTTTTTTTTTTTTAAATTACATATATATATATGTGTTCATAATTTTTTTATTATTTTTAGATTAGCAAGAGAATTATGTTCTATTATCTGAAATGGAAGCAATTCATGTACTATACTTTTAATAATATATGATATTCAATAATATTATATATACATAAATATATACGATATTTCAAATGGACAATAATAATTTGATAAGCAAAATATTACGATTTATAGACGCTCATTATTTTCTTTATAGTATGGATTAACAAAACATTTTCCTAAATGTAATAAGTATATTGAAGAATATATTATAAAGCCTACATATGAGGCTAATGCTTGTATTAATGGTCAAATTGCTGCTATGGGTTTAGGGAATAAATTCGATAAAAAAAAAAGTAATGCAGCATTGTCATATGCATCTATGATAAAGGGAAATTCCAAATACGTTTCTAAAGAATCCCTTTGCCTTTACTTATATTATTGGTTAGATAATGAAAGTAAGGAACATCATATTACTCAGATTGATAAAGATAATATTTATGATAATTTAATTAAGATAGGAAATAATAATGTAAATATATGCAAATCAATTATGTATCAAATAAAAAAAAATAATGAATTAATTGAAACAATCAAAGCAATACATGACATTTATAAAAGTGTTTATATATTAAAAGATTATTGTGAAGATTATGATTATGATAAATTATGTTATGTTGTTAATGTTTTTAATAATGAAGATAAAATGCAAGAAAAAACTAACTCCTGTAAAGATATTAAACCTGTAATACAGACCATTTACAAAAATAATACTATAGTTCCAATTATTATTACAATTTCTGTAATGTTGATAATTCTTATATTTATTTTTATTATTATTAAGGTTAGTTATTCTATTATATATATATAAGTATAGTACTAGAAAATATCTATAAATAATTTTAAAATGTATAATTCTTCATATAAAAGCTACATTTGGTATACACTTATATATTTCATAATGACATAGTTTATCCCACACCGTTCATATATGCACCGTTTAATAAGAAGAATAATAAATAAGAATTATAATATAAATGATGAATGGAATATAATAAAACCACCTGGAATAAACAGTTTTAATATAGATGATTGCAGATACGATATACTATACAATCGTGACTAATTTTATCATAAAATATATTCCTGGAAGGAGCAATTTTGTGTAAGTTATAAGTATTCAGGCCATTCCAAAATAAATTTTTTACAGAGATGAATAGGAATATATTAATTTCATAGATCAGATACTATAAAAATTAATAATAATAAATAGATATTTTAGAGAAAATATTCCACATGTATCATATTGTTTTAGTATAGTACATACAGGTGCGTTCTTGTTAATACATACTGATGAAAATATGTTTATATATTTATGAGAAAACAATTTGTTAAATTGAATACTATCTATACAAAATAATAAAATATAAAACTGTATTGTGTGTAAATTCATTTTTTGTAGTAAATATATAAATTATTTATATTCTAAGTACTAACGCACCTTTCATCTGGAAGTTATATACTTCTGTTTGATAAAATTCGAATTTATTGTATTCCATTATAAATAGTGTGATATATAGTATATTACTGTGTATTTATGATATCTTGTTGTAATTAATATTATATAATTATCATAAAAAATGCTATTAAAAAATTATAATGTGCTATTTCCCACATATATTTAAGCCATTATATTCATCAGTAATTCCAATACCGTAATGAAAAAGGTAATATTATAATACTACCATATATAATATATACATGATATTTAATTTTTGAAATTGTTCTGTTTACATTTATATGGCCTCTACAAAAAAATATATTTATATTTTACCAACATATTTCATATTTCTGTAAGTGTTTTTATTCTATATATATTATAGTGAATATAATTTCAATTTATATATTGATTGATTACATTAAAAAGCTTATTATATTGTATTAAACATTGTCTGTATGTTTCCTTCACACGTAACAATTAGAAGTTAAAATTATATTTGCATTTTTTATTTAATAAGAAACATAATGATTCTTATATTTCGAGGACATACATATTAATTAATTGAAACGAATTATGTTACACATGAGAAATGAAAAAATTAAAAAAAATAATATATATATAATGTTTTTTGTTTCATTAATAAATTTATTATTAATAGGATTAAATTAATAAATTTGATTTAATTATTACGCAATGAATAAAGCACGTGATGATAATACAACAGAAATTTGAATTCTTATGTACTCAAAAGAAATATCGATATAGATAAACAGAAAAAAAATTTGAATTAATACATTTCATTTTCAACATAATGCTTCTTACTTAGATATTTTTTAAATTTTATTTTTCTTTAGAGATAAGGTCACCCATAAATTATATGATATATATTAGTACGATTCTTACAATTATGTTAAAAAAAAATTGTTATAATTATAATTTTTGGTGATTTTATTGAATTTATTTAATTATAAAACGACAATTACTAATTCTTTCACAATGACTTATTTTTATTTCTGTGGTATTAGTTCCGAGAGAGTAATTATATATTTTCCAATTATCATATTACAAAATTTTTTGATTAATAATTTTTAAAATAAAAATTTGTTGCGATTTTCGTTATTTATGAATAATTCATATAACTCCTGATACCGTTAGTAAAATTATGGAACTGTACTTTTGTTATTATAATAAATTTATTTTATATATTATAATCGAATGAAATGTCACTATGAAAAATTATATAAACTATAAATATAATGAAGGTTATCTATTATGTTCTTTAATATATTAACACATATGCACTGATTATTATGGAAATTTTTTAAGATTGCTTTTTTAACAATTTCTATAAATTATTATGATTAAATAAAAATATTTCTTTTACACGATGTTTATCCTATAGGATATATAAAAAAAATAATTTTATCTATATATAATAAATACATGCTTAAATAAATTTTGAATTATATATTCAGAATTAAATATTTTATAATGCTTTGTTTTCCTTTAATTATATATATGGGATAAGAATTCTGAATGATTTATATTCCTTATTCAAATCATCTTATAATAAAACAATTTATATATACATTAGGACAGTTATATTAGTTTATAATTTTATTAACTATTGAACACTAAATATATATATATATATATATATGTATAATGATATATTTATTTTCCTATAGATCTTTAGCAATAGTGATAATATGCAAGAAGAAGTTAAACTATATTTCTTCAATAATTAGCACACATAAATATATTATAATTTTAAAAAATTTATATATTAAGAAATTTATAATAATATTTAATATTATATAAATAAAAATCTAAATTTATATATAATTCATTGATGAAATTATGCAAAATATATTCTTGTTATATGCTTCCATAATGCACTTTCTACATTAAATATGCAATTAAAATAAAAATATAGTTATGTTATAATAATAGTAATATGTGTTATAATACTGAATTTATTAATATAGGGATTCACATTAACCGTGTCATTGATTTGCATTTATTCAAAGTGAAATATTTCATAATTCTTATTATATTTTAAACTCAAAAACTTTTTATAGCAAAAATATATAATATAATTGATAAAATACAAAAAATAAAAAAAATATATAATATTTATAAGAATGATGGAAATAATCTTATATAGGAACATAATGTTATATTAATCAATTGTGGAAACATTAATTTAAAATATATTTTAGACTAATTTCATATTTAATATAATCGGATATATATTTTTATTTTTAGTTTATTACATTTTTTTTTTAGAATTACTGCATTTATTTATTTCAAATATAATATATTTTAATAGTTTTTTTATCATTTTCATTATTTTTACATAAAATGTTAAATATATATTTGTCATTATATTTATTTTTTATATTTTTCAAATGCTAATTAAGAGGTATACCAATAATAAGATTGTACTATTTAATGAAAAATGTTCTACTTTTCAATACATTTTAACTATAAATTTTTCTCAGATTCGTTGATTATATTAATCTCTTTTTTTCTGTATATAATGGAAATGGTACCTTATTACTAAATGTATTTTTATATTTTAAATGTTTTATCAAAGCTTTCCTTTTAATTAAATTATTATATGAAAATCTTTTTATTTTAGAAAACTATAATAATAGATAAATTATTAATAAAATATAATGTGTAATGTTTGCAATTAAATTAATTTTAATATAACTTAAATATTTATTATATAATATTCATAATTTCTTAAAAAAATACTTATATTACATTAAATAGGAAAAATATAATGAATAAAACTGTTATCATAATCTAAACATAAACAAGTAAAAGTGTTTTTATTACATATGACTTATTTTTGTATGATAAAATATTATTGAATATCATCTTGGCCTTACTTCTATTATTACACCATTCTTTGAATAATAAGGAAATATAAGATTCCTTTGGATTGCATTTGGAATAATCATCATTGAATACGTCCTTCCAAAAACATTCAATTAAAAATTCTTTTCCTTCCCTGTATTGCCTTTGATTAAAACCTAGAGAAGTGCAATAGGTACTATAATGATCTGCCCTATCATGGATAAATTCATGTGAATTAGTAATATCCTTTATAAGGCTTTTACAAACTTCCTAATCAGAAATAAGAACAATAAATAAAAATATTATAATAATGACATTGAAGTACTCATGAAATGCATAAAAAAAGTAATTATATATATTATCACTTGCTAATTTAGTAATTTAATATTTATATATTTAAATGTCTTACTATAACCATTAAAAATATTCATTGATTAATGCTAAGTGTGTATAGCTTCGTTTTTTACGTATAGAATTAATTATTTGTTTATTATGGATTACTATTTATGTAAATTATTCATATTTTATATATTAGATTATATTTATTTTTATTTCATTTTTCTTTATATTTAGGTTTAGAAAATCATTATAAAACCTTATTTTAAATGATATGTAAGCGCTATTTTTACGAGAGGAATATTAATTATAAATAATATAATGTTTCACATGATTCTTCTTACGTATATGGATTATTTATTTTAAATAATTAAATAACAATAAATACATATATGACACCCTTTAATTTTATGTATGTAACATTTTATATTTTCTTATTATTCACATTAGAATATTCCAGGACTTATATCATATATATAAATTTTCTTTAGAATAAACATTATAATATTTGAATTATTCCTATAGTTCTTTTGTGATACTAATGTTTTCTCATTAATTTTTTTTAGTATAATATAAATATCACACAAAATAAATATTCAATTGCAAAATATTTATTTTAATTTATGCGGAAATTTTATGTTCTTTCTTAATTTATCATATAAAATACAGTGACAAAATGTGATTTGTTATTCATTCTTTTGTGAATTATAAGGAATAAAAATATATTTTCAAAATGTATTTAATGATATTTTTGAAAAGTAAATAACTAATTCAATAGAATAAATCTTTTATTTTATATATATTATAATGTATATTTAAACATTTTTTTTTTGATACATACAAGTGTATCACAAGGAATTACTTTTATCCTTGTTCCTTTTTTTTATTACTTGAATATTTTATTATAAATAAATAGGTGTAATTATAATAAATAAGGAGATATAAAAAAAAAAATAATAAAAAAATAAAATAGGTGATATTATAGGTCTAGAAGAAGTAATAGATGAAATTTTTTTATTTTTTCTGTGATAAAATATTAAAAGAAGTAAATTTATAATATCCTAAAATTAACATATATTTTTCGTTAAGTTATTTATTTTGATAATAATTTATAATATTTGAATATATACATTGTATGATGCTATATTTATGCATATTTTATATGCATTATATATATAGATGATCATTATATATTGTTTGTCTTACATATACTTCTTAAGGCTATTATATCATCATTCCAAAATAAAGCACATATCATTATCTAAAATATGCTCATATGTATATATTAAAATTGAATAAATTTATATAAACACTATTAGAATATCTTATTAGTTTCTGTCATATTCTCATGTTATGCTCATTGAAATATTTGAAAATTTCCACGTAGTTTTTCCATTTAAAATGTAATTCACAAAAATAAA